AACCTTTTTATTGCCTTTTAATACTGGTAACCTTCTATCGAAAGTGACTGCGAAAGAAAACGAAAGGAAAGAAAGGAAGAAATGATGATCAAGAGCATTAGATCGTTCATCCCGTCCTATACAGAGGCCGTAATAATTCTCTTTGGCAACAAGTTTGAGCTAAATGAGGCAAACCTTTGAGGAAACATTATACCTGCTGAATTTTGTTGGTCATAGTACTCGTGGGAATGAACAGAGCAGGATAGAGCAGTTGATGGTATGATCATGTGAACGATATTTGAAAACATTTCCAGCATTCGATTTCATTATGCAAAACAGCGGTGAACCCTCAACGCGTCCATAATCGTGGCTCATACAGGATCCTGACGTCCAGCTAACGTAAGTGATCACTGATGCCGTTGTGACGTTTCAAAAAGTCTGCAACATTCTGTGCACTTGATTCCGTTTCACTTTTTCGAGCTCTTTCTGAGGGTTCTGTTACACTTTTCCGAGCCCTTTATGAGCCACTCGAATCCACAAATTGATTTTCTTGAACTAAATTGATTAGCACGATCCACCCCTCATGCGTAAGTTTTCTACCGACTTCTTCTTCAAAGGACTTACTTTTTCTTTCAGGTTTGGCTGAACGCTTGCCTTCATGGGTAGTTTGGGTACCTAGACAAATAAATCGACTTGTTTCTCCGTTAGCCCTCCAAAGCGTCCATACCAACACTGTCTTGTCGGGGACTTCCTCCTTCAGGTTCAGGGGAATGAGATCCAGGAATGAGCTGTTGCTGTTTTCGGCGTATGTATTAATATCTCGCGTAACTTGCCAGGCTCTAATGTATACCTCCCGTGATGGCCCTTGGGCCCTTTCACCTACTAGCTACGTTGAGGATGTGGATAGGTTGTATCAGTATTCGATTGGTACTGCAGGACATATCGCCATCGTTGAAATGCTAGTAATCAAAGATCCTATCCCATGGTTGACGTCAAAAGGGTTCCTCAGTGATCAGTGATTTACCTGCATAATCCACTCCGTAAAACATTTCTACAAAGCAGCTGCTCCTCTGAATGTTCATATTATCGACACTTTCGACCAGAGATCCGTAATTACGAGAAGTGCCTTTCAGGTTAGGGACCGGCTGGCCGTTTGCTTATTTTCCAGGTATTGTCACAGATCCTGGAAACATACACATTCGAAGTTCATCTAAAGAAAAATCGAACAGCAAAAAGTCTCACATGGTGGGTTAGGGCGCAGTTCGGCGACGGAGGACATTTTGCACTTTCGCTGTTCACTAGTTCCAATTTACAAGTCTCACTCTGGTGAAACCTGTGAACTCTTGTGAAGCTGGAGCAAGCTCGTCGAGCCACCATGGTAAAACCTGTCAACTCAAGAAAAGGCTCTCTAGATGGGTCGACACGTCGATGGGAAGTAGCAAAAGTGCAAAATGCCCCCCCCCCCCTCTTCCTGTCGCAGAGTTGCCCCTGAGTTAGATATGCAGTTCGTTACCGACATCAAAAGTAAGAAAGCGGCAGCGACACCAGCCAGGAATCAAATCCTGCAAAGAATCTTATCGGAGTCAAGCCAGCTTTCCGCGCCTCCAGGTTTCCTTCGAGAGCCGACATCGCCAACAACTGAAGTTTCATCTGATTGGAGCCATGAGGAAAACCTAAGTGGTTGTGAAGGAGAGCGACACGGGTTAATATACAATACGCCTATGTAAACTTCGGGAGCAACATTGGGGGATGCGTAAATGCAGCGTACGTGCACCATGAATACTACCGTTTGTCGTCCTATGCCACTCCCAGGGAAAAAATGGGCTAAGTCTCTACTTGGCTAAATCACAGAGAAAAGCGAAGTCATGCTCCAGTGTAGCTCTTCCCTGCTGCCATTTCGGAATTTTTTGCTCCGGTTTGTTGGAGCAGTTTCAGCACTGACTTGGTGCTGATGTCAGCGGAGGGCAGGAGCATGGAGTGTTCCTTGTCTTTGTAGGCGACGTTTTCTTTGCCGCTCAAATACGATAAGCACATATGGCGCGGGCACAAAGGAGGTAGCGGAACGGGTGTTACTTTTCGGATGTCTGCGCCATACAAGTCGATCATGGAGGCTTGTCGCTGGGGCTCAAGGCAGGCCTGGGAATTCATGGTCACGGGCAGGAAGAAGTTCCTAAAACGATACGCTTGTCACACAACAATTCGCGCGCCCTACATTCAGAGGGAAATAATTTTCAGTTTGAAGGCTTCATATGGAACTTTCGCCCAGGCAGGTCTAAAGCATGGACGGCTGAAGATTCAGCACTACGGAAGCTATACAAGCAATTGTGGCCTCAGGCTGAAATAATAAACGATTTACGGAGAACTGATCACTCACTCCTTACCCAAACTATCGCCTTCATTCAGTATGCGCCAGACTATTAGGGGTACATCATATGCTAGGTGCCTGAATGCGAGTCATCCAAGTAAACTTCCTAGGCAGAGGCTGAGGTGGTGTTGAGATGACAAGATGGGCGTTACCACTCGTGCGGCGAGGCGGCGTTCAAAGATCACCGAGGTGATCCGACCCAGGGACGGCCAGCCTTCGGGGGGGAACGGTAAATTGGACATATTTCGTTCTGAAGAGGATAAGATAGCACTGACTTGTAATCGGCCTGGCCACCGCAAGTATGTGTATAGGGCCTGCATCGCCTTCAAAAAGTTCTTGACGGAGTGAATGGAAGAGAATGGCGTGCCGCATCCCGCAAAAGGGATTGCATTAACGGCGAAGACTTTATCCTTTTCCCTAACTACCTTACTGGGTGGCTACACGGCGTATTCATTAAGTACATGTTAAGAATCTTATTTCATATGAATATTCAGAGCAATCTGCAGTACAATTCTAGGATAAAATACAATATCGACGCGTCAAAATACCCGCTGTGAGGAATCAATGAATATTTCTCGAGGGAACGAATATAAAATATTTCCTAAGAGGTAGGCAGCTCCTTCACAGTCAGACTCCCGCAGGTACGGTGTTAAAATGCACGACTTCCTAGGATTGTGAATGAACTGCACAACTTTCTAAGGGTATTAGTTTGAGCGAAATGTACCAAAGTCAATAAGAATGTCATCGCTGACTACCCATAGTCTTCGAGATATGAAAACACTAGAATTACTATCAACAATATCAAAAAGTTCTTGGCGAGTCACTGGTATTTCGGCTCCTCCCTTAAGGAGGATCCGTTCGCAGGAGGCTTTCTTTGTAGTGGAACCATTTTCCGCCAGAAACCAATCCACAAAACGATAACGACGCAAGCTTGCGCAATTTCCATCGACCACGGAGCCGTTGGGCCAAATTTCGAATACAGTACGCTGAAATAGCCATTGTTCCAGGCTTCTGGGGTACTAATAGTTGAAGAGTGGAAAGCACTGCTGAGGACTGATTCTATCTTCAGTCTTTTCCTTCCAATTAATATAGCTGGCGAAGAGTTACCTCGTAATGACTGGTGACAGAAGTCTTCCTATTGACCCTGCCATTTGATACACTCCTTGGAAGGTGCCCTGAAAGCTGATGCAGTCAATCTGTAGGAAAGACGGTCTCGTTTCGGAAACGTTCAATGAACTCCTCCTAACCCGCTGGATAGCGAAAGGCTACAACTTGCGGAAAAAAGTATGGTTATTATATTATCAGAGAAAGCGTAACGCGGCGGCTGCTGGCCGAAAACTGCTGGGTTCTGGGGCTGGTAGAACGATAACTGCGCAATGATGACGTCAGTAAAACGATCCTTAACGAAAATTGCGTTCACCAACCTGCCGCCGGGGTCCGATTATTTCAGAGTACAATGTAGTCACGGCTATGTTCAGTATCGAAGCAGCGATTCCGAAGACCAGCACATAGAATGGGTAGTAAACCTGAAACATGCACTTAAGCCCATTCCTTTAGGTTCTTATTTCGTTGAGAACCATTTGGGAGCAGGTGGAAAGAACCGACGAGGTTTCTGATCTAGCCCAGGGCTCCACTGCAAACGCCTCCGTAAAACCTTGTCCGCTGCGGATGCTGGAGCGTGTCAGAGCGGCGGTTTCATGCTCCCATTCTCTGCTACCTGTTGGAGGAGCGGCAACAATTG